GGAATCTCTCATCATTTGCCATGAAATAAAAAATAAAGGGTGAAGCCCTTTTAGAGGTCTCTAGGAGAATTTTGATGATGCGAGGTGTGTGAAGGATAGTCCATAGAGTAGAAAGGAAGCTTCTGAAAAGGGAAATTTAATATTCCACCTAGTCATTAATCAAAATTCTGTCCAATTTCATCGCTATGCCCTCTACACTTTGTTTGCCATTGTACGAGGTAAAGTGCATACTTGAGTACTTGAGGTCATAGAGAGCCGAAGTGTGGTGGTAATCTTTGAAGTCCTCCATCCCACTAGGCATGGTATCAGAATCTCCCATTTTTTCATTCGACTCTTTAATGATGTTAAAGTCACCAGATACAGCTAAAGGGAAGTCAGCAACAAGATTGGCCTTCTCCTTAATATCCCTCTAGAGCTCCTCAAACTAACATTGCTCTCAGCATACAAAAAAAGAAGCATTACAGGAACAGTCAAACTCCTTGGAATTCAAAATACACGAGACCATTTGGTCAGAGCAAGATAACAATTGAACATTCCAAAAGTGAGGGTTCCAGATAATCCATATAAGACAGCTCGAAGAATGGTCTTTATTACTAACAGAGTTCTATCAAAATTAGGCTCCTCAACTTGGTCTCCAACAAGGCAATCAAGGATAGTTTGTGCTACTTTAAATTTCCTGGCGTTAGCTTGCTTATTAGGGTCATTGAGACCCCTAATATTCCAAAAAACAATCATCATGCAAAAACAATATATGGAAAGAGCACCACAATACATTAGAGAGAGGAGGGATTGCCCTCAACCCTGCGATTATCGCTACGACACCTCGCAAGTCTCTTTAGATCTCTACCATAATCCATATAAGACCCCTCGAAGAATGGTCTTTATTATTAACAGAGTTCTATCAAAATTAGGCTTCTCAACTTGGTCTCCAACAAGGCAATCAAGGATAGCTTGTGCTACTTTAAATTTCCTGGCGTTAGCTTGCTTATTAGGGTCATTGAGACCCCTAATATTCCAAAAAAACAATCATCATGCAAAAACAATATAAGGAAAGAGCACCACAATACATTAGAGAAAGGAGGGATTGCCCTCAACCCTGCGATTATCGCTGCGACACCTCGTAAGTCTCTTTAGATCCCTCATGGCTTGACGCCTTGATAGAGAACAGTGGCAGCAGCCTTTTAAATTGTATAAAAGGTGTGGCAAGGAGGGTTCTAAGGCTCAAGTCTTAATTTGGCGCATGCTAGACGATGGGGGGTCCACTTGAAATCTTGATAATTGGGGGTTTTAGTCAAATTGGATAATTATGGTAACTCGCATCAATTATGATCAAATGTCTTAATTATGGTAACTTGCATCAATTATGATCAAATTCCATAATTATGGTAACTTGCATTTATTATGATCAAATTGCATCAGTCAATAGTAATTACTTTATTATGCTAGTGTCATATTGATTACCTCGATTATGGGGTAATCCTAGAGTCTAAACATTGATTACCTCAATTATGGGGTGATTACTATTATTAAGCTATAGAGTCAAGTGGATTACCTCAATTATGGGGTAATCCAAAGGTCATGAGCTACACTCACAGAATGCTTTCAAAGACATTTTTATTCTTTCATGGATTGAGTCACCAAGATTACAAGATATAAGGGTGTGAGGCCTTCCCTAGGTGTGATGCCTAAACTTTTTGGTGTGATTCCATTATTTTTTTTTTTTTTTTTGTTACTCTCAAATCCTTTATCTCTACTAACACATCTTGAACCATAATCTGTTTCTCTGAAACCCAAAATTCTTATTTGTTTTCAACTGTTTGAGGTTGTCCCTATCCTACATCACATCATGCCTACTCACTTGATGTTCTTTGGCATAAGCCTCCACCTTATCTAGACCAAGGGAGACCTTTCTCCTAACCTCTAAAGTGGAGTTTTGAGTAGACCACTTACCCTCTTCCATGTCTTTAAAGAAAGTTGGAAATCTACTAGAAGGATTGCATCCACTGTTACAGATTGGGAGCTCTTATAATAGTGATCCCTAGAATCCTTATCCTTTTTATCAGAGGCTGCTCCTAAGACATTTTGAAGTGTTTCAGGATTTCTACTCATATCTTCCATTTCCTTACTACCATCTTTCGGAATCTCAGCATCATAATCACCTGGACCATGGTGTTCAGGAATAGAACACTCCCCCTGTTGGGCTTTCCTTTTGTGATTGACCATCGTTTACTCCTTATTCTTGTTATCTTCAATGATTTTACCCATATGCCTCTCTGTTCCTTGCTTAGAAGCTGCGGCATGCAAGGCACCGCGAGTAGCATTAGAGTGACCGGAAACGTTGCAGTCACTGCATTTGAGTGGATGCCCTTGAGACTTGGCTCTAACCTGAATACACTTATCATCAGATATCCATAGAGGAACAGTGGATCGGATGTCATTACTCACATCGATTTTGATACAGACCTGAGCATAACTAATTCTCTTCTTGGCTGAGGTATTATATTCAACATGTAACGGAGTTCCAACGACACTGGCCGCATGACTCGAGCCACCTTCATTCCAGTGCTCAAGGGGAAGACCAAAGAATCTAAGCCAAACTAGCACCATCACCATGTCATACTTTACAAGTCACATTCCCAGAACCCTCTTCCCGAGCACCAAGTGCCTATCTAGAATAACGCACACGATTCTAAGCACCAAATCGTTGTTCAGAACCTTGATAAGACCTTCGTTTCTCCAGAGTTATAGAGAGATCGAATTGACAATATTGTATGGGAGCTTTCCATCCACAAAGTACCACTCTGCAATCCTCCCAGTTGCCCTTTAGCCCCTTTATCACTATTGACAACAGAAGGGGAGATGAAATTTGACTTCAAGATCTGAAGTTGATTCTTGGCTTTAGCTGTGAGCTGGGCCCAACTAGCCTTGTTGGGCTACTTGAGTTAATTTTGGAGGAATATTCTCCAGGCCCAATTTGGTAACACCAGTCGTGATGCTGTTGACCCGTCCGGCACTTGGCAATATGAGTTGTTGGGATCACCCACAATTTTTCACTGCTACCACCTTGAGATCCAAATCGATGACTCGAGTCATTTAATTGTTTCTTCAACTCGTACACCTGGAGCCTCAGCAAATTGTTCTGGAGCTTTACATCTGAATCTGAGTCTTCCTCAAGGTCTTCATAAACTTCCTCATCCATTGCAACTTGTTTCCCTTGCCCTTCTTTCATTAAGGTTAACATCATGAGATTGACCTTCAACAGGGGGGGTTTCCTACCCAAGTCTTTCTGGGCATTCTTCTGGTTCAATGACAGGATCCATCTTCAAGTTCACATCCCCGATTACCTGAGGAGATGACATCAGAGAAAGAAGATAGAGAACTCAACTAGGGGTAGAACCACTAGTCAGGGAGATGAAAGTAGGGGAGAAGGGGCCTTCTAGATGAAGAAAACAGCTAGCCAGGAAGGAGCTCGGGGAAGGTCAGTCCATCTTCTTCCCCTAGCTGGCCCTTTCTCGCCTACTTTCATATCCCCGACTAGTGGTCTTCTACGCCTAGTGGCTTTCTTCTCTTCCTTTTCCCTTCTCTCTGCAGATTGTGCTGGAGCTTGTCATCTAAATCTGAGCCTCTCATATAAAAGGATTTATGTACATTAGTTTTCCTGATCCTCTTGGTTTGATATATCAAAAATCCCATTTTTAGAGAATTTTTTATTGATTGTTTTGCATATCTTGAATTGTTCCAGATTTACATTGATTAAATTGAATTCACATGCAAATTGAAAAGATATATGTATGTTGATTCAGCTAATCCACTTAAATGTTGAAAAGATCTATTTATTTTGATATTGACTAACATGTGTCACATAGTTTTTTACATATCAGTCTTTAATATGCATCATTATCATGCGTGCATTTCGCTTTGATCATGCTTGTGCCATATATTGCACCTGTGCCTAGGCTACAGAAGACCTTTTGTGCCTTTGTGCACCTTGAAATTCTATTAACTTCATTTTTTTTTTATGTATTTTATAACAGAGTTCAGTCTCATACAGAACGGTGCGAAAGTTGTCTGTTGCAACATTCCTCCAATATAACTACCTTGTTTTCATGCCTTCATCCCGCTCATATGTTTCGTTTCCCCTCATGGATAAAAAAAAAGGCACGTTATTTTCCAATCAGTGGTTATCATCCGCCTTCTAGTATACCTATGAGAGTATCTGCAGGATATCTTCTATCAATAAATCAATTTTCGTCCTTCGCACTAGCAATCAAGAAGGGTTTAACTCGCATATGATTGGCTGATAATTTTTGAAGGTAGTACTGTTAATCGAGTGTCATTTGTTGATCAATATATTCTACTTGTTGTGTGATCGATAAATCAACTGTGGCATATTATCTTGTTGTGTCTTCAGCTCTTACAAATTCAATATGTTATGATTTTGATTAATGCAAAGCATATGGAACTTTTGGAGATTTGAATATTACCTGTTCGGATTGGATTTTTATGTATAATGAAAACTAGTGTCGTACTGTACACAATGGATTCATCTTTGCATGCTTGCAGACTTGCAGTGGTGATTGATTTGGCCACTTTTTGAATTTTAACTGCATGCATTTTCTTCATAAATTTTTTTGCACGAATTATTATTGAATTTATGAATTTAGTTATATTTCAATTTTGCTTCTTTCTTCTCTACTTCTCCTTGTATTTGATAAGTAATAATACAAATGTTGTTCGGTTTTTGAGCAACCTAGTTTCATTGAACATCTCTAATGATTTTACGCATTTATGAAGATTTTGAAAAAAAAAATAAAAAAAAAAAAAACAACGTGGCTCAGTTTGTTTTGATGTAAAATATTTTCTTTTTAGGTAAAATATTTTCTTTCTTTTTTTAATCTATTTTGGTGTTTTGAGGTTGAGATTTACTTCATCAAGCGTATAAAATAGTTCGTTGAAAAGTCAAATTTTAATATATTTTTTTCTTCGTAAATATTTTAAGACAATCAAACACCAAAAAATAAAAATAAAATAATAATTTTTAAAAAATATTTTACATCCAAACAAAAGCCTAAATGTTGAATATATAAAATTAAAAAAATAATAATTTACAATTTTCATTTCACTTGATTTTCAATATTTAATTTTGGAGTAATGCTATTTAACCCATTTACAAAAAAAAATCCAGCCTGCTCTATATACGGATTGCCACGTAACAAATATCACAGTTTTCCAATATTGCTTGCTTTCAGTTTTCAAATATTGCTTGCTTTCTCCAACGGTCTGATCTTGTGACACAGATGTTCCAATCAGAAGCAGGGTGATCTGTATCACAGATCACCGTCGGAGCTCGCTCGGATGGGGTTTAAAAAACTACTTACAAAGCACCGTGCTCGCTTCATTAATCCAACCACAGGTGATGGTGTTGATCCAGCAAGATCTGCCGATGATGAACTACCAACACTACTCAAAATCGACATCTTTTCATACGATCCCAAACACACATTCAATTATCATCTTTTGTTCATAGGATCCAAATACACAGATTGACACCTTCAATTATCATTTTTGTTCATAGAACATCCTTGTTAAAAAGGGTCTTTCTCTCTCTTTTTCTTCTCTTTATTTGTTCCCCTTAATGTAAGACTGGCAACAATAGGGATCTCTTTCTTGAGTGTCGAAATCAAACAAAAGGATAAGTGCCTAAGATCAATTAACTTCACTACTGAAATACAGGAAGAACTGGAATCTCCACTAATTGGGCTTGGCAATAACAGGCGCAAAACGGAAGGACACCAAAGACACATCTTGTTTTGCAAGGTACTTAATGACATCCTGATGAAGTATTACGCCATTAATCCTGCCGTGACCAACACGATGGGCTAATGTGTTAGCTTCCCTGAAGATGTGCCCTTTGTCCTTGAAATCGAAGCCCTCGTACTCTGTTTTAATCTCACTACCATTTCGAAGAGAAAAATAAGGTACACTGTCTTAGTCACAACGAACAAAAAAAAAAATTCTAAGTTCAAACAGAAAAATAAAGTATAATACAAAGTTTAATACCTGTAGATCTCTGCAAATTCGCTTTTATCATCGATTTCCTTGTCCAGCACAGCATTGAGATTCTGACAATCACTTTCTATAAAAATAGACTTGAAACCAAATTTATGTGCACCTTTAAGACCTTCCAAAAAGGCTCGGACCTCACATTGGTATGCCGTGGTTGCATTATCTATTGCGTCACAAAGTACCTCTAAAACATTTCCCTCATGATCTCTATACACTGCACCCCAAGCTCCTTCTCCTTCTTCATCTTTACCCTGGACTTGCACTTTTCTGAATGCTCCATCAACATTAATTTTAACACACCCTAATGGAGGAGCTTTCCAGCTACTATCCTTGACTGGGCTCTTAAGCAGTTTCTCTGGTTTAGATCTTTCAACAACATAAATTCTATGTGATTTAACATAGCCATAGATCCGATCCTTCTCACTGTCACTCGTGGCAGTACTTAGCCACTCCATGTATTCATCAATGGTCATAAAAACTGGGTAGTTCGTTCTATATTGCCTTGGAGGGGTATCGATTTTATCATATTTATACTTACCCCATTCTATGAGCCTCCTCTTTTCGCCCAAAGTATAAAAGAGAGATCTAGCATCCTGTAATTCAAGTAGAACATTTGAATAAATGGGTAAATGCTTAAATAATCTGAACTTATCGCATGCATGGTTATCTAAACTACTGTGGCTGGAGAAGAAGTCAAGCCGGTATGATTTACTTATGTTCAAACATTTTGAACATTATATTTTCTCATTATTTTTCATATTTCCTTGATTGTTTGAGAGAATGGATAATGTATAGTTATAATCTAACATACCTTCAAACTTAACCACACATGGAGAGTGACATCTCTGATACCATGGCATTAAAGGGCAACCGCTCAAATAATTTGAGCTTATCTCATGCATGGTTATCTGCACAGTAGAGACTAGAAAAAAGGACTTAGAAAATATTTTGAACATTATGTTTTCTTATTATATTTCAAATTTCTTGAATGGTTGAGAGGATGGATAATGTATATTTATAATCTAAAATGCATTCAAACTTATAATCAGTTTAATGTTTTCTAATTATATTTCGAATTTCCTGAATGGTTGAGAGGATGGATAATGTATATTTATAATCTAACATGCATTCAAACTTAATCAGTTCACATTGAGAGTGACATCTCACAATTTTCATGCCAAGCCATTAAATAGAAGGGTAAAATAGATACCTTGATGGGATTGAATGGTGACCAGCCAAAGTGATTAAAATCACCCATATCAATACCTGAAACGAAAAAAAAAAAGAGTCATTTGGTAGTGTCCAAAAATTAATGGATAAAAATCAAAATTCAAATCAAGATCAACATAACTCCTTAAAATAACTTTAAAATTAATATCCACATGGCCTTTCATCCTCCCTCTAAGTCTTATTCATTACTCAGATTCATTACGACTCTGGACTTATTAGAACCTTGGGTAACAGTCCAACAATCTAACAGCTTCCCAAGGGGTAACAAAAATAACGATCAACATCTTTATTCTTCAAAGGAAATAAATTCTACATTTCAGTATTAACACCCCATTGACATATATAATGAGCTTGGAAAAATAGTATCATGGTAACCATCAAAGCAAGAGAATAAGATCTAGCAACCTATTGGGGTGCACAGGGTTGAGGTTGGAGAATCAGGACCCTTTCAAGATTGTTGTTTATAGTCAAAATTTGGTACTAGAGATTTTTGAAGGCAGTGTTATGTTGCGCCTAGCTTTTGCGAAACTTTGGAAGATGTAGAGGTAAAACTGAGAAAATATTTGATGCTACATGTTATTAGTGCTCAAGAGAATAGTCTCCATTGAAACCAACAAACAAACACAGCAAGTGACATACCAGTAGTAACTCCATTGAAACATGTCACAATGTAAAACCAACAAGTTTTGACCACTCCAAAACTTAAAATTCAAATTCAAATCAACATAACTACTTAAACTAACTTTAAAAAGTACTTATTCAAATGGCCTATTCATCCTCCCTCTAAGTCTTATTCATTACTCAGACTCTCGACTTATTAGAACCTTAAACAGTCAAACAATCTAACAGCTTCCCAAGGGGTAACAAAAATAAGGACCAACATCTTTATTCTTCAAAGGAAATTAATTCTAAATTTCAGTATTAAAAAAATCAGAGAGTAGGAAGCCAAGTTAATCAACACTCCATTGACATATATAACGAGCTTGGAAAAATAGTTTAATGTAAACATCAAAGCAAGAGAATAGATCTAACAAGCTATTGAGGTGCACAGTGTTGAGGTTAGAGAATCAGGACCCTTTCAAGATTGTTCTATACATTCACGATTTGGTACTAGAGATTTTTTAAGGCAGTGTTGTGTTGGGCCTAGCTTTTGCAAAACTTTGGAAGATCTAGAGGTAAAATTGAGAAAGTATTTGATGCTACATATTATTAGAGCTCAAGAGAATAGTCTTCATTGAAACAAAAACACAAACACAAGAAGTGCATCTAAGAACATACCAGTAGTAACTCCATTGAATCGTCTTATAATGTAAAACCAACAAGTATTGACCACTCCTAAGCCCTGTAAAATGTAAATAACATCAATCACCTTATATATGGTCGTGTATGTGTATGTGTATGTGTATGTGTGTGTGTGTGTGTGTGTGTGTGTGTGTGTGTGTGAAGTATGGGTTGATCAGGAACAAACCTCGTATGAGCCTCTTTTGCCTCAGAGGGTGGAGTTGCTTTATCACGACATTAATTTCAAAGAGCAGTCGCTACAGCTTCTCTAGCATAAGAGAAGAAGGGAAGACGACCATGGAGAAATGAAAAAATCCCCATCTCTGAAATCTGCAATTCCACTACTTTCCGACTGCGGTTGTAACAAAGGTTGAAGAGTGGTGGATTATAGACGGTACTTAAGTTGTGAGATTGGGCTTCTCACTTGGGCTTCGGACTGGTTGGGGAGTTGTGATGGGTTGGTCGTCGATGTACCGAGTTACGAAGTTGGGCTTCCCACTCATTCTCTCTCCTGGGCTTCTGAGTGGCTCATTGGCCCAGCTACTGCACCAAATTGAATTGAAAAAAAAAAAAAAAAATTAGAACAATTTTTTTTAAAAATTTATCTGATTCTTTCAGGCATCCCATTAGGAACTTTTAAACGTAACATTAAAGTAAAAAATAGTACCTTCTCAATGACATTGTAGTAGAACGTTGCTGATGATTTCGCTTCATCTTCACACAAGCATAAAATCAGTCATCAGTCTCTTTATTCCCTTCTCCAAATCTCCACCATTCCATGGAGAATAACAAGATCAAAAAAAGAGATACATATATTGTATATAAATGCAAAATTAAACCTACATCTATCAACTTTAGACTTTATATACCAAACGAAAAAAAATTAACGAAAAAAACAAAGCCAAGAGAGACAACTAAGTTACACTGGTACAGATTAACACACACCTTAACACACACCCTAGTGTTTAAGAGGACTAGAGGGGAGAGAGAGGGAAAATAGACAAAGAAAGAGCAACGCTCCGTTGGAGTAGAGAGAGAAAATAGACAAAGAAAGAGCAACGTTTTTTTATAGAAATAGTGGATCACAGGGATACTGGAAAAGATTCTTCAACTTGAATAGGTAATTTAATGTACTTCTTTATTAATTTTTTTGGGTAACTGGTTTTGGTTATACCAAAAAACTTCTTTCATAGTTGGAAACTTAACACTACGTAGATAAGCTGCAGATAAGATGTCAATCTCTTAGTTAAGTGTGCCGCTTCACATCTAGGTCAGCGTACCAGTTTTGGTTGATGTATTTAAATTTTTAATATTTTTAAAACATTTTTTACTTTTACAGTGTTTAACGAAGTCTTTATTCCTATTAATTTAATAGGGCCAAAGATATTGGAGACAGTAAAAGATTTCAAATCTGAACTGATCACTCTCGTTTTGAAAACATTCGGATCTAAACTGATTTACTTCTCCATCTTTCTATCTCCGTGTCTCTCAACTCTAATTGATTCAAGGTAAGATAGTACAAATTAAACTAAAAATTCTGCACGAATTGAATATAAAAAATCAAAAAAATTAAAATGAACAATTTCACAATTATGAAAATGAAATGGATGAGTGAAAATTTATATGCAGCAAGAGCATGAAAAGAAATATTGAGATATTATAGTTCTAAAATCCTAAAAGAATCACAAGAAAACATACTTAGATTCAATTAGGATAAATAAATAATCTCATAATAAAACCAAAAAAATCTGCTAAGAAAAAATAATAGATTATTCAATTGTTAAGATAGTATAAATTAAAACTAAAAATTCTACACGAATTAAATATAAAAAATCAAAAGGAAAAATTTAGGTGCAGTGAGAGCATGAAAAGAAGTATTGAGTAATTATAGTTTTAAAATTCATATTGAAATATTATAGTTATAAAATCCAACATAAGGATCAGAAAAAATATATATATATATTACTCCGTTTAATTAGGGTAAATAAATAATTCCATAATAAACCCAAAAGAAATCTAAGAAAAAATAATAATAATAAACCCAAAAATTAAAATGAATAATTTCACAGTTCTGAAAATGATACGTATGAGAGGAAAAATTTAGGACCAGCGAGATTAAAACCCATATTGAGATATTATAATTTTAAAATTCTTAATATGAGAATTAGAAAAAAAAAAACTTACCTTATTCAATTAGGGTAGAGAGTGAATAAAAAGAATGAAGAGAGAGAACATGGTTCAATCGGAAAAAAGATGAAAAAAAACCAAGGTAGATCTAAAATGTTTGAAACGAGGGTGATATTCAATTAGGGTAGAGAGTGACGGCGATAATAAGAACAGAGGGAGAGAGAGAGAGAGAACATGGTTCAATTGGAAAAGAGATGGAAAAAAACCAAGGTAGATCTAAAATGTTTGAAACGAGGGTGGCTATGAAACACGGATACGGGACACGACAGATTTCAAAAGAATAGGACACGGATACGGCGGGTATACGCCTATAAAATTATATATATATATATATATATATTCAAAATATAATTACTAGAATTTTGTACAGATAAATAAAATAACAACAAAAAACAGAATCTATTTCAATAATTTCATCTCTGTTATAAGAAAAATATAAACAAGACAAAACAGAAAATAAATAAAAAATGAAGTTGATCCAAATTCCAAATAAAAATGTGCAGAAGAGACATAGCTAGAATGAACTAAATATGTATATGAATAAACATATAGACTTTCAGTCTTTCACAAAGTTTTGTTCATGTAACTTATATATATATATATATATATATATATATATATATATATATCTTGTTCATAAAGAGAGATAATTGAAGAAGATGAGAGAGACAGAGAGGAGTGAGAGAAAATAAATTGTGTCACAGAAGTGTCGGACCGTGTGTCTGAAGCTTTCGGACACATGTATCCAATAAAAAATAATATTTGGACACTTTACAGAAGTGTTGGACACGTGTCCGAGCCTCAGACACGGGTATCGGTGTCCGAAAAATATTCGACACTGGTACAAAGCCCGTAGGAGGAGTATCCGTGCTTCATAACGAGGGTGATATGACGGTCTGACAACCAACGCGTACAGCACAAATGATGTAATGTGATACAATAACTCTCAAGTGGACCCACGGGCAATTTAAGTGACCCACACACGTGACGACTCTATAGATTAAAGATTTCTAAAGTATCATGACTCCATTGTACAACTTACATCAAATGACTAACTATACTAAAATAGACCAATTTAATAAATAATATTACATATTTACCCTAGCCAAACCCCCCGCCGCTGATGCCGAGAACATCGCCCCTTTACTCTCTTTCTTTCTCTTATTTTATCTCACCAATCAAATATTCATCCCTCTATAATCTATCAATTATAAATATAAATCTCAAATTAAGAGAGATGTGAAGACATGTGATCTATAATATGAAGGTGGGATGCGATTTTGGGGACGACGAAGGCTAAGGAGGAGATTAGAAGGTTGATGTACAGACGACTGTTATCGTCGACGTTGATGATGACCGGATCTCCGGGAAAGATTGCAGTGGGAGGTGATGTTCTGGTCAATCTCTCACACGGCCTTTGGCTCAGGGACAGGTATACGGCGATGTGGTGGCGGGAAAGGTGGAAAGGCGGTTTGCTGGCGAGGTGAAGATCCCAACATGATCCGCCGGAGCCGAAGAGAAGAAAACCCAGAGAACGCTGTCGGATTGCACCACCACAACACTTACGTTGTCGGATTACTCCACCTCTTGCCATCACTACTCATCACCACCACCATCCACAACCACCCCAAATTATGCCTCTTTCCTCTCTTCCACACGTATATATAGGCACTCCCACACAACCATAGCCACATCACCCCCAAATTGAACAGAAATTAATAGAACGAGAACGAAGACTAAAACCAATAAATTGTTGGGTCTGTTTCCCAACACAAATCCATTAGCAATCTCCATAAAAAATAAAAAATAAAAATAAAAATAAAATCTTTCAATTTCAGTCCCCGCCAATTTCGTGAACCAAGCCTTCGACGCCGCCGTTTTACTTCGACTCTCCTCAGCCAAGTTGGGGTTTGGGTTGATAACTGATGCAAAGCCTGTTTTAATGGTTGGTGGTGGTTGCGGTGGTGAGTGGAAAGAGAGAAGGATTAGGCGATGGTGGGTGGTGTTGTGGTTGACCAAGTGTTGTTAGCAGAGAGAAGCACGGAGCGCCTAAAGAATTTGACCCAACAAAGTGATAAGATGATTGTGTGGGTGGGTGGGATACGCGCTAGCACTATGCATACGAATTTGATATGCGATTAGATGAAATTTAATATTTTATTGGGGACCGAATTAGACCTCCGCATTAATTTATGTTGTGTTTCGTATTAAACTTTAGATCTCATTGTCATTGTTAAAAAAATTAATAATAATAAAAATAAAATTAATTGGAGGTCAACTGTAATTATAGGTCAAATTTAAACTTGCTAGGTGTAACGGGTGGGCGCTTGCCCATTTACCCAAAAGCTCAAACTATTGGGTAGTGCTGCATACTCACCCATTTATACCCAATCACTTTCCCATCTAATTTCGATGTGGGACAAATGACCCTTGTTACATTCTCCCCCACCCAAACTCGCAACGCCCTCGTTTGCGGTTCGGGCCACCTTGCCTACTCTGGATGCTAGCCCGGACGCCTTCCGGGCAGGGTGCTTGGCGTGATACCGGATCAAGGATTGGGTCTGACTTTGATACCAACTGTGACTGGTGGGCGCTTGCCCATTTACCCAAAAGCTCGAACTATTGGGTAGTGCTACATACTCACCAATTTATACCCAATCACTTTCCCATCCGATTTCGATGTGGGACAAATGACCCTTATTACACTAGGTCACTTTAGATAAACCTAAAACTTGCGAAACACACACTAGTCGCAGCAATTGGTAGTCCGGAACAGGACAAAATATGAAAGAATAATGATATGGGAACCGAACAAAAAGCCCCGAAATTTCACCGAACCTGACCTGGTAAGGACACGTCAACATATTTAAGCATTGTTTAAGAGTGAAAATTCAATGTCTTCTCTCACCTCACGTGTATGCTGTTTGGGTGGGTCCTTCACTGTCTTCAACTTCCTGTTGCTTATATCATATTCTTAAGGCTGAATCGGAGCACTCAACGGCGACGAGAGAGATTGTTTTGGCTTCCATTGCAAGAGACGGTCTTATACCCATGAATCACTAACCAAAAACAAAGTCTAGCATTCATATACATGTTCAAACAAGCATAAATGTGTGAAAAAATATATGTAATTATATTAATATATAACTAAAAATAAACATTACAGTTTTAATAAAATTCTAGGTTTCATAATTCTAACCTCATACAGATCAAACACAACATAATTATTATATAAATGTATAGATAGAGAGAGGAGGAGATCTGATGAAAAATCTTAATTATAGATTTGGAAGCTTTGCATCATCAAGTAACCAAGAGCAACACCATGTCCACCATTTCAAATCAATTCCTTTTAAATCGCTATAATTTTTTTGTTCTAAGCTTCCCCAAAAAAAACTCAACAACAATTAATCTCTATTGTATGTTTTTTTTTTTTTCAACATCCAACTTTATTAATAGATTGTGAATTAAGATTCGATTTATTTTATTAGTATATTCAAACGACAAAATCAGCAGCGATACGCCTGAAAAGGGATTATTTGGGCTTCCATAGCAACAGACTGCGCTTCAACATCTGGCAAGAGACTACTCTTCGAAGGCGTCCATTGCAAGATGGATTATTTGGGCTTCCATAACAAGAGACCGCAAGAGACCGCGCTTCAACATCTGGTAAGAGACTGCGCTTAGACGGCTTCCATTGCAAGTGACTGTGTTTTCACCAGAACAACATCTTCTCAGGCTCCTCGCGGTTGAGTGCTGCAATTGGATCTTAGAAAATTTGATAACGATTTGTGAGGTTGAAGACACTATTGAAGATGAACGATAGATGACCCACCCAAGCCCACGTGACGTGATAAAGGATACACTTAAAAGTTCTGCCGTGGCCAAGCCACGTCTGATTCGGTGAATTTTCGTGAAAAACCGTTCGGTTGCTCCATCATTACTTAATATGAAATCACTTGCGATAATTAATATAAGCTACGATAATTAACACTGATTTTTAGGGATTACGGCTAATCTCTCTTAAGGCTCAGTTTGGATTGAGTGTTGGATAATTAATGGATAGAGAAGAAAAGATGGAGAGATTTGGAGAGATAAAGCGCTATCATTCCAAAAATAAAAAGATTTGAAAAGAAATAATATTGAGTAAATAGTATTTTTATAATTATTTTCAAAGGAGAAGATTATTCTCTTTACGAAATATATGCGGATCCAATCACGATCTTATAATAAAAGCAAGAGATCTTTCTCGATCAATCCCTTGCCCCTCATTCTCCGAGAATCCAAAAGATCATTTTTCAATTTGAATTTGTTGATTTAGAATCTGGGTTTTCTACTTCATTTTTATTTATTTATTTTTCCCTCTTCTTTTTTATTCCCTTCCATCATTCCTTAAGTTGATCCTGTAGAATTTGACCCATTTTCTCATTGAGCGAAGGGTACAAAATAAATGAGATTGATTCTTCTTCGGTTTTTCCTCTTCCTCTACCCCTATCCCATAGGTACAGTATTTGAATCAATAGAGAACCTTTTCTTCTGTATGAATCAATATTCTTTATTACATTCCAATTCCTTCCCGCTACCTCCCAAGGAAATCTTGAATTGGATCCCAAATTGACGGATTGTTGAATCTACGAGTCTCTACTTATATTTTCTTGTTCCATTTTATTACAGTGTTTTTATGTGATCTTTGCCCCCTTTTTTTTTGCCAAATTTTTGCACCATAAAGTAAAATAGAAAGGGAGAAAAACAATGATTAATTGGACAATTAGGTTAGAAAAATTAAAAATGGGATAACCATAACCCCTAAGTGAAAATAAAGAAAACAAGAGCATGAGGAATAACAAACTCTAGAATGAGAAATTATATAATCTGGACTAATTACTAGTTGACACATAAAAATAAATAAAAAATTAAACATAGTAATTATTTGCATATCAATCATTAATGGACTGAACCAATCCTTCCGGTAATAACATATCATCTATCATCCTTCCCTTCCATGGTGAGTGGGAGGATGATAAAAGTATAAACAGTATGATTTAATTTGGATAAATTATTAAATAGTTCTCAACCATGTGAACCAACACAGTCAAGGTTAAGTATTTTGTCTTACTTTTACAGTATAATTAGGTTTCTATTTTATGCATAAAGTATTGGACTACAATAATTTGGGTTTATGACTATGTAAATAGATGCATGGACAGGAATGAGACTCATGAGGTTGTAAAAAATATAATGCGGCAGTTATATGTAGGGGTAATTTAGGACTATACTTATGTTGTGTTTGATACGTAGAAATTGAATGGAATGAAATGTTCATTTTAATCATTCTTTATTTGGTATACAATTTAAAGTGAAAATAGTCATTTCATTAGAATAAAAATCTATTTCACAACTAAACATATACAATTGCCATTCCATTCCCAAGTTATTTTTTTTAAAAAAAAAAATTATTTTCTTAAAAAATCCTCATGTTCCAAGTTCAAAAATCATAACTATCTTCCATCACAATCACCTCCGCTTTTCACCACTACCGACTTTCACCATTGCCCACCGCCTTCCACCACCGCCACCACCTTTCACCACTAACACCACCTTCTTTTGTTGCAACCACCATGCCATTGCATTTTACCACCTCCACCATCACCACAGCCTTTCACCACGGCCACCACCTTTCACCACCACTATCTTCCACCACCGCCACCAGGGACAGAGCTAGCGTATGCCCAAGGGGTACGTGCGCCCCGCCCCCGCTTGCTATAAAATATATACTCCTACTAAATTTATGTACTTTATAATTATATATGAAAAAATTCATATAATGCCCCCTTAGAATTTTTATTTTTAAAAATTATCAATTAAATTTTGTATTTATTCTCTTTTTCACTCTTTGAATTCATTTAATTTCCTTTTAAAAAGTCAAATTTTCCTTTTTGAATCAAACTCTAATTTTTTTTCCCTTTCAAAACTCTCTCATTTTTCTTTCCTTTCTATTTTTTTTTTTTTTTTAACTATTTATCATTCTTAAACTACTCATTGATTGACATATTATTTTGAGGTAAGTTTTCTTCTTTTTCTCTTGATTTATAGAATCTATATTTATAGGCGTGATTATTGATTTTTTATTTTTACACTGTGCCCCCCTAAATTTAATTCCTAGCTCTGCCCTGACCGCCACTGCCTTTCTCCACTATAATCACCTTACACCACCGCTACAGCCTTCCACTGCCACCACCTCCATCACCACCACTGCCACCCCGCCCTACTACCACCGCCACCACAATCACCTTCATTAGTTTCCACCAACTCCACACTACTACCACCACCTTCCACTAACACCATTACCGCCTTTGACCGCCGCCTTGCAACACCACCACATACACAACTATCGTTTTCCACCTCTACCACCATTGTCGCTACCATCCACCACCGCCACTGCCACCATTTATTTTTTAAAAATTATATAAGAATGTCATTTTGTAAATTTAATTTATTTGTACGTTTCATATCTATTCATTACATTCTCTCACTTGCATTCCATTTCATTCATGCACATCAAACGTAGCATTAGACGAAGCCGCACGGTTTTTTATTTTTTGGATTTTATCTCAAAATACCTCGTACCATTTAGAGATAGTATCATCACATATAAGCATTTTACATTTCCTTTACCTAGGCAATATGGGACTATGCATCTGTAACTCGCCCGATGTGGTAGTCTGTCAGTGTTTCTTACACCTACTCATGGCACACCCGCTTACGTGGTTGCCACAATCACCTCCTTAAGACGCCAATGTCCTCATTGGCAGCACTTTCGGTTGGGTTAGACTCTAATACCATTTGTAACAACTCACTCCATCACATGGTATGATATTGTCTACTTTGGACTCGAACCCGCACGATTTTGGTATTCTTCCAAATCTTTTAATTATACCGTCAATATTGAAATTCTCTTCTCTATCTCAATTCATTGGCGGACTGTTTCATCAAACCCATTCGAAAAGAGTATGACATCATCAACATCACATAAAATAGTTTTTGGACTCTTGAACTACTTACAGTATCATTTTTCTTAAACGAAATTTGGTTTGAAAAAGTTTTAATTTTCAATGTTATTATATTTATTAAATAATTTGAATTTTCTTGAACCAAAGTTCTCAAGCACTTGTTATTCTAAATTTTTGTCATCATTTTCACCAGTTATACTATCACAATCGCAAACTGTATCATAAGAATTCTTACAATCGAAAATTGATGAAGAGAAGAAGAAAGGGAAGACACACCTCTACGTACATGTTAAACAACCAAGTAACCCACATAAATTAAGATGTCTTCATAATCATGTTATAAGACTGTTCTCAATATCATCAAACTTAATGCTGATTTGAGAAACTGTAGGGTCATCATTGATGTTCAGTGAAGTTATCAGTCTCTTACTTTTGCAGTCATCTACAGATTTGTTATGAATTTCCTAGTTTATCATTTCTTGATTTTTCATTAAAGTCATTTCCAAATTCAATTGTGGATCATATTAGTTCCAAAGATTAAATTAATTTTTTCTTGGATTTCAATTTCAAAACATTGATTTCATGCTTCGAAATATTACATTACATAACTTCCAATACGATAAAATAAGAATGACCAAGTGATTCCTCTTGGTTGCAATCCCATCTTCTTTTATATATAGTTACAGAAGAATAGTTCAAAGTGAACTAGAAAAGTTTGTCACCATATTTTACTATCTTCATGCAGACAGTCAATTTATAAGCTGTTCTACAGAGTTTCTGGCTAGGGAAATAGTATTAATTACCATCAACCCCTGAATAAACAAGAGATCTATGGATATGGCAGCGGATTAAGAATACTGGTAACTTCCTACCGCTGCTGTATCACTATCTAGTTCAACACATTGCAATCATGCCGGATTTCACCCAGGTTTCCAGTTTTAACACTGACCCGTCCAAGCTTTGTAATGGCAGCCCGAAAACCCTTTCAAATGCTTTCTTGCTTGTAGCAAACAGATTAACGAATTTTCTCGACCTCTTGTCAGTAAATAAGGATTTATCAGATGTGAACAGCCCCCTTCCTTGCTGCTGGTTTTTGTAGTACATGTTATCGAATGTTTGTGTTTGTGTCCACGGGAATGGCATTTCTAGGGTCTACATCTTTTAGCTGCCTCGCACATGTTAGGTTGAGTGTAGGGTCAATCCTACTCTTGCTGTTGAAGTTGTGAATGCATTTGGAGAATTGGCTGCAGTATGAAAACCCAATTGTGTGCACATGCACACCTGCAGTAATTCATATTTCCATGAACATCACTGCTTTTAAACATCACTGCTTTTAAAATGGTTAAACAATCCCAACTATGAACATGTTCATACTGGTGTCTAATTTGAAAGGTCTTTGAAACAAAAATAATCCTTCAACCTTAGCATGGTCTCTAAAAAAATACGTACCTGATAAGGCAAGGGTGATGGTGATGATGATGATGATATAATGGTATATCGGTGTAACATTTTTGCTGCAGACAGGAGGACCATCTTATGCTGTTTAGTTGGAAGACTTGATGGTAGGATCTCTAACAAAGCCAGCATGCAACATCATCTACCTCACCCTGAAATCAGTTTAAACCAGCTCAATGCAATGTTTGCTTCACATGAATGGGGTCGGCCAATATATTGGCGTGATAATTTGTACATCTACGAATATGCTTTAATTTGTCAGAGAAACTAATACTGGAGAAACAATGCCAACGAGTCTCAAGGGTCATGGACGACCAGTTAATGTGTAACTAAGCGCTTGACCTTGAATGTGTAAATTTTACATGAAAAACACTTGCCGAAAAAGGAGGGGGGGGGGGGGGGGGGTGTGGGGTATTTGAATTGCATACAAGTCATTTCCAATGCATTTCATGATGAAAATAGTACTCATTATGAACAACACTTGGTAAAATTGTGACGATTTTGACAGGTCCACCTAATCTCATCTTATCATACGTATTGAAAGGAAGTCCATAGAATTGAAGTTTGTTAATGAAGGGACCCCAAATGATGGAAACACATTATAAATTTTTTTGCAAACAGCATTTCAAAATGAAATTGTTCATGAGACAAGCTTGATCACCTGTGCTATCACGTCTCTGGTGGCCATGGCCAAAATAAAAGCACACGAGACCTTATTTTTACGCCCAGGCATTCTGTCAACAGCAGCCTTGGCTTTGATCACTGTGTCAAACCCATCCCCAGTAAGGGAAATATTGCCCTGCTGATCCTTCTCTGCAGTGTTATTGGGCAAAGCTAGCATCACAGAAGCATCACAACCCTACCAAAAAATGTAGGAGATTACTAGTTAGTTTTAGAAAGGATTCAGAAAATAGAAGACAATCAATGTTGTTTAGATACAGCTAAGAACAGGGTCACACACCTGAACAAAGAAATCGTGAAAGAAGAGTCTTAGGGTGGCTGGTGCCATCACAAAAGTCTGCTGGAACTTCTCTTGAACCGTGGAACAGACAATGAATTGGACATTGGGTCATAATGTGCAAAAATGTGATGAAGACTAGCATAACTTATTGTCATAATGTGAAAAAACTTTCATTGATTCATGAATCATGCACATCATTTGGAAGGCCAACATTGAAAAGCACATACTAGTATGTTACTTTTATTTGTAGTAGGAAAATCCAGAACTTAACCTGAAGCCAAAATCCACTGGGTTTCATAGTTGGTATAAGAAGATCTTATTTAAAATGATAGGTCATTCAATTCAAGTTAGCCAACTTGAATCATGCTACATCCCCCTTCTCAACATACATTACTTCTAATGATAGGTCATTCAACCGAATTTTATGAAAAAGAACTTCCCTTCTCAACTACTTCCCTTCTCGTGACTGGGCACAGGTTACGACCAATTTCAGTGACAGGTTTTCTAAAAACAGAATTTTCAGCAAAATAGTGAATTATGCATTAGCATTTCAACATGATAAGAACGTCTATCAATCAAGATAAAGGTTCCGAAACATCAAAAATTTGTAAGTAGTCAAGAACACAATTCAGGGGAATATCATATTTTTCTCAGGAGAAACAAATACATGCAGCACAGGCAAATCCAGCAGTATCTCTAACAGAAAATGATAATGCCTGTTAGTTTTAGCTTTCTGCTTGCTTGATTATCATAATTTTGATACAAAACAATAGAGTGCCTTAATAAAACCTTAACAAGCTATTTTGCTCACAACAATATGCTTTAAGCAGCATTGAGGCAGTTTGTAAAATGACAAATACATATACTCTGAATTATTTTCTGGATCAAGGTCATCCAACCAGAGTTACATTTCATCAGTTTCAACAGTTCTAATCAAATTTTTTTGTTGGTGTTGTAAGCCATGTTTCATCAACTTAAAAGTTTTAAAATGAGAATTTGCTACAAGAATATATTGCAGAAATTGAAAACTACGAGAAAACAAACTATAGGATTTCAAATATAGGGAAATCCTGGTTCTCTGTATATAATATCCATCCTTAGACTAGGGGAATGTCTTGGCAAGCAGCCTGTAAAACTTGTCCTAGAAACTTGACATTATGTCTCAGAAGATAGGTCAGGTATATTTATTTAGTAATGTG